TGCAGCAAGGAACCTGGATATAGTGTTTAATGACCAACTGAGCTTTTCCATCCACACCTCAACAATAGCCTAGTCATGCAGGTTTGCACTGTACAACATTAGGAAAATCTGAATTCTGTCAGAATAAGCAGCACAGTTACTCGTCCAAGCACTTGTAATTTCAAGACTGGACTACTGTAATGCTCTACTGGTGGGCCTTCCAACAAGTGCAACTAAGCTACCAGAAAACAGTAGCACGTCTAGTCTTCTGTCAGCCAAAGAGAACCCATGTCACACCCTCCAGATCTCACTGGCTCTCAGTTGTGGCCAGAATCAAATGTAAGTTTTTAATGCTGGCTTTCAGAACCACCACTGCAACACCTCCTCCCTACTAGTGTTATTTTAGTTAATGAAAACTATGATGAAAAATGTTTGTTGACAATCTTTTTTCCCATGACTAAAATAAGACGATGACAATAAGGTCAATAAAAGATAACTATGACTATATCAACATCCAATATCATTGACGATAAAAGACGAGACTAAAATGTACTTCAAAAAAATAAAAACTTAAAATATTATTGTGGCTGCTGTGCACGTCTCTACTATGTGAGCTTTCATGCATGCGGTTGCCAGATACCAAGAATTGAAATCCACAAATCAGAGCTTCTCTGTTAAAAATATAAACTTTCTGCCCAGTGTTTATCTTAATTTTTGCAATCTGGCAACCATGAGCACGTGCTTGCTCTTGATTGCAAAGAAGCCCCGACGAGGATCTGAAAACACAGACAAGCAAGTAACCTGGCATTTAGCAATCTCCATGTGAGATGTTCAGCTTAAATGAAAGTGTCATTCAGCCAGTCTGTGTTCTGTCATGAGATCTCGACTATATTGTTTGCGATTGTGGTAGTTGAATAAATCTACTTACTCAACCACTGTTGTTTTAATAGAGAAATATTGCAATTTTGAATTATTAAAATTACTATTAGGAATTTCACGTTATAATATTTTTTGTTTATTTTACCAGTTTTCATAGTGTAGACGGGGAGCGTGCATAAGTCTAATTATTAATTATGCATATTAATTTACACATTAAATAGCTTGTAATAAATCATTACACTAGATGAGGCAAAATAAACCATTTGTATGAGTCGACATTCTATTGATTTGTGCTTATTGGTGAAAGTGCAGTTAATTGTGCACCTGAAATGCAAAAATAAATTCTCAAATGACAACGATCATTACGATTATAATTTTGAGCAAAAATATTTTTGATCAGATTAACCATTATACAGCATGAAAATGTGACTAAGATTTCATTGACTAAAACTGTTCCTTCACAACAAGGAAAAAGAAATTACTCTCCGAAACCTTTGCCTTCTCTGTTCCTCATTGGTGGAATGAGCTGCCAACCTCCACCTGAACTGATAACAGCATCACATCCTTCAAAAAGCACAGCTCTGAAGACACAGCTCTTCTGTAAGCACTTAACCACTCCACTCTCTTAAAATAATGCACTTACACACACAAAAAAATTATTCTCTGCATTTCTCCTCTTATCTAGCTTGGTTTCTAATCTTGTTGTCTAAATCTAGCATTGTGTATTACAAATGTTGACTCTAACAAATTGCTGGAGGTAATATTAAGCACACCAAGGGACTGTGATACTGAGCAGTCCCTAAGAATAAATTACACCCACAGAAAGTATTATTTAAATGCACATGTTTGACTGAGCTGTTCCATTTACAGTTTCCATTGGATTGTGTTACCTGCTGAATTTCTTCATTTGTAATAAACAGGCTGTGGTTAGATCCTCACCTCATCTCTCTCTCTACGACAAAACATTAAAACTCAAGCCACTGTGCGATTTACCCGAGTTAGTGATAAATAGAAAAGTGTAAGAGAATATCGATCTTTATTTTGTATTTTGATTACATCTCATGGATGGAAAATAATCAGCAGAAATGTAAATATACAACATTCATGTCATATGTAATTGTGACTCCATGGTGTGTTTTCTAACCCCAGGTTAAACTGTTCAGCAGTTGCTTAGTGATAACAATGCAGGTCTTTGGACTGAAATTCTGAGTAAAAGTGGTGCATCCCTTTAGTCAGTTTGCCCCTGACAGTGTCTGTGTCACAGGAAATGGCCAACACCAACACTATTACAAACATGACCTGAACAACATGTTTGTGAGTGTCTGGATGTGTCAGACACAAACATTCTAATATTGACATTTAGAAAGCAGCAAATGAGCCTGGTGTGAAGTTTTAGAACCAGAGAAGGTTTATCTCCAATATCATTGACGATAAAAGACGAGACTAAAATGTACTTCAAAAAAATAAAAACTTAAAATATTATTGTGGCTGCTGTGCACGTCTCTACTATGTGAGCTTTCATGCATGCGGTTGCCAGATACCAAGAATTGAAATCCACAAATCAGAGCTTCTCTGTTAAAAATATAAACTTTCTGCCCAGTGTTTATCTTAATTTTTGCAATCTGGCAACCATGAGCACGTGCTTGCTCTTGATTGCAAAGAAGCCCCGACGAGGATCTGAAAACACAGACAAGCAAGTAACCTGGCATTTAGCAATCTCCATGTGAGATGTTCAGCTTAAATGAAAGTGTCATTCAGCCAGTCTGTGTTCTGTCATGAGATCTCGACTATATTGTTTGCGATTGTGGTAGTTGAATAAATCTACTTACTCAACCACTGTTGTTTTAATAGAGAAATATTGCAATTTTGAATTATTAAAATTACTATTAGGAATTTCACGTTATAATATTTTTTGTTTATTTTACCAGTTTTCATAGTGTAGACGGGGAGCGTGCATAAGTCTAATTATTAATTATGCATATTAATTTACACATTAAATAGCTTGTAATAAATCATTACACTAGATGAGGCAAAATAAACCATTTGTATGAGTCGACATTCTATTGATTTGTGCTTATTGGTGAAAGTGCAGTTAATTGTGCACCTGAAATGCAAAAATAAATTCTCAAATGACAACGATCATTACGATTATAATTTTGAGCAAAAATATTTTTGATCAGATTAACCATTATAGGGGAATCACGTTATAAAATATTTTTTGTTTATTTTACCAGTTTTCATAGTGTAGACGGGGAGCGTGCATAAGTCTAATTATTAATTATGCATATTAATTTACACATTAAATAGCTTGTAATAAATCATTACACTAGATGAGGCAAAATAAACCATTTGTATGAGTCGACATTCTATTGATTTGTGCTTATTGGTGAAAGTGCAGTTAATTGTGCACCTGAAATGCAAAAATAAATTCTCAAATGACAACGATCATTACGATTATAATTTTGAGCAAAAATATTTTTGATCAGATTAACCATTATACAGCATGAAAATGTGACTAAGATTTCATTGACTAAAACTGTTCCTTCACAACAAGGAAAAAGAAATTACTCTCCGAAACCTTTGCCTTCTCTGTTCCTCATTGGTGGAATGAGCTGCCAACCTCCACCTGAACTGATAACAGCATCACATCCTTCAAAAAGCACAGCTCTGAAGACACAGCTCTTCTGTAAGCACTTAACCACTCCACTCTCTTAAAATAATGCACTTACACACACAAAAAAATTATTCTCTGCATTTCTCCTCTTATCTAGCTTGGTTTCTAATCTTGTTGTCTAAATCTAGCATTGTGTATTACTACAAATGTTGACTCTAACAAATTGCTGGAGGTAATATTAAGCACACCAAGGGACTGTGATACTGAGCAGTCCCTAAGAATAAATTACACCCACAGAAAGTATTATTTAAATGCACATGTTTGACTGAGCTGTTCCATTTACAGTTTCCATTGGATTGTGTTACCTGCTGAATTTCTTCATTTGTAATAAACAGGTTAATTGTGCACCTGAAATGCAAAAATAAATTCTCAAATGACAACGATCATTACGATTATAATTTTGAGCAAAAATATTTTTGATCAGATTAACCATTATACAGCATGAAAATGTGACTAAGATTTCATTGACTAAAACTGTTCCTTCACAACAAGGAAAAAGAAATTACTCTCCGAAACCTTTGCCTTCTCTGTTCCTCATTGGTGGAATGAGCTGCCAACCTCCACCTGAACTGATAACAGCATCACATCCTTCAAAAAGCACAGCTCTGAAGACACAGCTCTTCTGTAAGCACTTAACCACTCCACTCTCTTAAAATAATGCACTTACACACACAAAAAAATTATTCTCTGCATTTCTCCTCTTATCTAGCTTGGTTTCTAATCTTGTTGTCTAATAAATCTAGCATTGTGTATTACAAATGTTGACTCTAACAAATTGCTGGAGGTAATATTAAGCACACCAAGGGACTGTGATACTGAGCAGTCCCTAAGAATAAATTACACCCACAGAAAGTATTATTTAAATGCACATGTTTGACTGAGCTGTTCCATTTACAGTTTCCATTGGATTGTGTTACCTGCTGAATTTCTTCATTTGTAATAAACAGGCTGTGGTTAGATCCTCACCTCATCTCTCTCTCTACGACAAAACATTAAAACTCAAGCCACTGTGCGATTTACCCGAGTTAGTGATAAATAGAAAAGTGTAAGAGAATATCGATCTTTATTTTGTATTTTGATTACATCTCATGGATGGAAAATAATCAGCAGAAATGTAAATATACAACATTCATGTCATATGTAATTGTGACTCCATGGTGTGTTTTCTAACCCCAGGTTAAACTGTTCAGCAGTTGCTTAGTGATAACAATGCAGGTCTTTGGACTGAAATTCTGAGTAAAAGTGGTGCATCCCTTTAGTCAGTTTGCCCCTGACAGTGTCTGTGTCACAGGAAATGGCCAACACCAACACTATTACAAACATGACCTGAACAACATGTTTGTGAGTGTCTGGATGTGTCAGACACAAACATTCTAATATTGACATTTAGAAAGCAGCAAATGAGCCTGGTGTGAAGTTTTAGAACCAGAGAAGGTTTATCTGTCCTCTGACATTTCTACTCACATACCTCTTTCTCTGAGAGACGCTCTTGTAGGGAGGCAAGTTGGCTTTTCAGTTCCTTATTTTCATTCTTATACATTTCTGCCTCTTCTGTCTGTTGCAGAAGAGAAAGTAGTGGATAGTCATTTGTATACAGAAAATATTGTTTTGTTTTGTTGTTTTTTATCCACTTTTGGTTAAGAACAAAGATGGCAGCAGCTGAGAATGGTGCTCCATTCCTCCAAGATTGTGGTAGTTTGAAATCTGAAATTGTCTAAATTAAAGCTACATTTACACTACAGTGGTGTACTATGGATCATTCACATGGATGCTGTGTTATGCCTATAGTCCAAGCACACACAAAAAATTGTGTTTTTGTAATTTACATGGAGACTAATCATTTTCAGGTCCCCAAAATGCTTTTGTCATGTAAACACCAAAACACATTAAAAGCTTTCTGTTATTAGTTCAAAACTCCTGTAAACAGCCCCTCAATGTGTCTCAATCCAAACAGTCAGTTTTTCGAGTAGGCATTGCAGCAGCTATAGAGTCAGTAGATAATCTGGGCTTTGTCAAGTTAACTTTAAAATAATGTTTAAATGTTGCATCAGAAAGTTTATTCATGTATTTATTTATGAATGAATGAATGAATGAATGACTATTACTGGAAATAAAACTGAAATGGTTCCAGTCTCTTAACCTCGAAGTCTCTGGAGACGCAAACAGGTCTACCTCAGCGGCTCCGAAATGTCTCCATATCAGCTGGACCATCTGGGGATGGAGTCTCCATTCCCCGGGGTGCGCAGCTCGTGACAGCTCATTGGCTGCCCGGCTGTGCAAGCCCGGAATGTGAATGGCATGAAGCGACCTCGGATGCTTCTGACTCCAGAGGAGGTGGTAGTGGGCGAGTTGTGACAGGCAACGGGAGCATAGACCACCTTGTCAGTTGATGTACGCAACGATCGCAGTGTTGTCCGTGCGGACCAGCACGTGCTTACCTCGTAAGCGTCCTCTGAGGCAAGGCGTACTGCTAACAACTCTAGGCAGTTGATGTGCCAGCGCAGTTGGGGGCACATCCAAACCCCTGATACTGCGTGCCTGTTGTACGTGGCCCCCCACCCGGTGGTGGAGGCATCCGTGTAAACCACAGCATGCCTGGAGACCTGCTCTAGGGGCACTCCTGCACGGAGAAACGCAAGGTCTGATCACGGGGTGAAGGTTTGGCGGCAGGCCGGTGTGACTTGGACCCGGTGAATGCCGCGTTGTCACGCCCACCTCGGGACTCTGCCATAGAGCCAGTGTTGAAGCGGTCTCATACGAAGCAGCCCCAGTGGCGTGACTGCTGCTGCAGCTGTCAAATGCCCCAGGAGCCTCTGAAACTATTTCAGTGGGACCGCCGTCCTGCTCTTGAACATATTCAGGCAGTTCAACACCAACTGAGCACGTCCCTGCGTGAGGTGTGCTGTCTGTTCGACCGAATCCAACTTTCCCGTCCCGGGGCCTCTTGCTTTTCCACTTACCTCCAGATTTGGTGGGGGCCTGGACAGGCGGGGCGGCCTGCCTATGCCCAGCTCCATGGCGCCTCTTACTCGAGGCTGCTGCGTTTGCTGTGTGGGAGTGGGGGTGGCGGCAGGGGACCGCCCTCGGCGACAAGCAGACTGAGGCAGCAACTGCACGATGTGTTTGATGGCCTCGGTCTGCTTCTGTTGCTGGGCTATGTTCTCCACTGCGTCGCCAAAGAGGCCGGTCTGGGACACGGGGCATTTAAAAACCAAGTCTTGTTGGTCTACCTCATGTTGGCCCAACACAGCCAGAGATGGCATTCCTGGAACACCATAGTGGATATCGCATGGCCCAGAGACCGCGCAGTGACCTTCGTCGCTCGTAGCGCTAGGTCAGTAGCGCTGCGGAGCTCCTTAAGAACTTCTGGGTTGTGCCCACCCTCGCGCAGGTCCTTCAGTGCCTTGGCCTGATGAACCTGAAAAAACGCCATGGCGTGTAGGGCAGAGGCAGCTTCTTCACAGTCAGACTTGTAATCCAAAGGTCGCGGGTTCGAGTCTCAGGTCCGGCAGGAATTGTAGGTGGGGGGAGTGAATAACCAGCGCTCTCTCCACCATCAATACCATGACTGAGGCGAGACTCTTGAGCAAGGCACCGAACCCCCAACTGCTCCCCGGGAGCTGCAGCATTGGCTGCCCATTGCACCGGGTGTGTGTTCACTGCTGTGTGTGTGCACTTGGATGGGTTAAATGCAGAGCAAAAATTCCAAGTATGGGACACCATAATTGGCCACACGTCACTTCACTTTATTATCACTTTACAAGCACTGCGGTCAGGGCTGACGAGTACCTACAGGCCTGGGAGGGGAGTGACGGCTTGCCCCACCTGGTGGCAGTGGTATTTGGACACAATTGCATGGCAACTGACCGGAATCCACCGGAGGGATCTCTGTACACCCCCGTGCTGCCCCACCGTCGAGGGTGGTGAGGGAGGACGAGCCACCAAGGCGGTTTCTGGTAGTGAAAGGTGCCGTCCATGACCCAGTGAGCTCATCATGCACCTCCGGGAAGAATGGCACCGGGGCAGGGCGCTGATAACCAGTGCGGGCCACCCCGAAGAACCAGTCGTCCAACCTTGAGGGCTCAGGACACGGTGGAGGTCTCCACTCGAGCCCTACCCTCATGGCGGCCCGGGAAATCATAGCCGTCATTTCCAGATCTGATTCAGGCATTGCTACAATCCCAGAGGGCAGCAGCGCAGCCGAATCTTCCTCTCCAGAAAGCTCCGGCTCACCCTCCGATGCAGCGATCGACATCTGCTGGTACGCTTCTTGTAGAGGGCCCAACACGTTCCTTTGGCAGCTCAACTGGTTGAGGAGTACAAGTGGAGTGATGGTCCCCCTTGCGTTGGTTCCCTGGAGGGTTTGCCATCACTGTTACCCTCAGACCATCTGTGCTACTGCCTGAAGTAGCCCCCGCCTGACTGCCGCCATGACGAGAACTAGATCGAGGCAGAGGCAACGGTGCTCCGCCCCTTTTGAGGTAACGGAGCTTGGGGTGAGTATTAGTCAATTCGTCTGTTATTACCGACGTGACATTGAGAGTGACCGACTGAAAGGGAACTTACTGGTAGGTGTGTTGTAGCTAAAACCTGCAGGTTAGTGGCACTCTGGGAGCAGGATCTGACGCCCCTGCCTTATGGTGTCTAATGTTTATTTGTATGATATAACAACCAACAGTAAATAAATGAGCACACTGATGCTCTTTTTCTTGTTCTCTCACATATATACAGCACCTTCTCAGAGAGAGCCTCTTCCAGTGTAACGAGAGCTGTGTCCGTGTTGCTGGAGTTGGCTTGCAGAGACGTCATTCTGTCCCCCAAACTGTCCAACTGTTTGTTTTTGTCTTTTAACTGCTCCTGCAGGTTCTCAGCCTGAGAGACACAGAGAGAAATAATCACTGTTAAGAATTCACCACCTTTGCCAAGTAATTCTGAAGCTAAATATATGTAATCAATATGTACAGTACCATGCAGGGCCGAATTAGGGGGAAAAACTCTACTACTAATAATAATAAGAAGAAGAAGAAGAAATCTTCAGCAGTGATGCAGTAGTTTTGTATGTTTCTGCAACTTACAGTTGATCAGCTTCCTTGATGTTAACCCACTATTTAATAGAACATGCAACCCTCTGAAATGCAATATAGGTAACAATATTTAGTTTTATCCATACTACAAAAATTCAAACATAGCTGATAGACATGGAATTATTGCACTGTTGCAATAAAACACAAAACTTTCTCATTTTGAACATACTGCTACAAAGGACAAAATACATTCACGCTCCCTTACAACGACATAACTCGCTGATTAACCACCATAGTACGATGCATTGTTGTTGAAACGAACAAGCTAGTTACGACTGTTTCCAGAACACGGTCGCATCTCCGTCGTTTGAACCACATTAGTTCAACAACATAGGGCCATTGTTAATGACGTCACACACATGTGGTGGAGGAATAACTTCTGCTATTTAACCGATTAGACATCTCTAAGATGCTGCTGTATTGAACATGGCACCTGATAACTGTCATTTTGCTTTATTTGATGTTTGATTCATCGCGGGTTCCCTCTTACGTCATACTCCGGGGTTCCCTTTATGCACATGCACACTCTTCAAAAACGGCGCTTTTAGAGGATGTGCAAAAATACATAGATTAAAATGCATTTACTGTATATTTAAATAGAATGGAATATATAGATTGTACTGCATGCTAGTTTGCTTATTGTGCCCAAGAGCATATTTATTTAAGCCCATATCCCTTGCTAACAAGAAACTATGCTTCTAACCACAGGTCGAGAGCTGTAGTTCCTACCACGTAAGTTTGCGACACTATTTGCGAATGTTCATTTGAACTATGGTTTCGGGGAACACCGAATCGTTGAACTATGTTGGTAACGACGGACATGCAGCCCAGGTTAGGTTCACAGAGTAAATTACCATGGTAACTGACTCTGAGTATAAGTTACCTCTCTTTCAGAAACGGGCTTGACTTACCCTGCTTTCTCGGGTTTGACAAACCTTCCATTCTGAAATGGAAAACCCAGAGTTTCCCCACATTTCAGGGTTAACATACTCATACATACATACAAGTTTTCCCTTAACCTCATTTCTGAAACGGGCCTCTGGTGCTCAAGAATTTTATTTATTTATTTATTTTTAATTAATGCCAAGGTATCAAAAATATAAGTACAGAAAATATCAAAAGTACGTACAAAGAAGTGACATTACAAGCAAAGCACCGTTTATACACGTATATAATATAACAATAAATAATGCAAAACGAAAGCTTAAACAAAATAAATTAAAAAAACGGTGCTCCGCCCCTTTTGAGGTAACGGAGCTTGGGGTGAGTATTAGTCAATTCGTCTGTTATTACCGACGTGACGTTGAGAGTGACCGACTGAAAGGGAACTTACTGGTAGGTGTGTTGTAGCTAAAACCTGCAGGTTAGTGGCACTCTGGGAGCAGGATCTGACGCCCCTGCCTTATGGTGTCTAATGTTTATTTGTATGATATAACAACCAACAGTAAATAAATGAGCACACTGATGCTCTTTTTCTTGTTCTCTCACATATATACAGCACCTTCTCAGAGAGAGCCTCTTCCAGTGTAACGAGAGCTGTGTCCGTGTTGCTGGAGTTGGCTTGCAGAGACGTCATTCTGTCCCCCAAACTGTCCAACTGTTTGTTTTTGTCTTTTAACTGCTCCTGCAGGTTCTCAGCCTGAGAGACACAGAGAGAAATAATCACTGTTAAGAATTCACCACCTTTGCCAAGTAATTCTGAAGCTAAATATATGTAATCAATATGTACAGTACCATGCAGGGCCGAATTAGGGGGAAAAACTCTACTACTAATAATAAGAAGAAGAAGAAGAAGAAGAAGAAGAAATCTTCAGCAGTGATGCAGTAGTTTTGTATGTTTCTGCAACTTACAGTTGATCAGCTTCCTTGATGTTAACCCACTATTTAATAGAGCATGCAACCCTCTGAAATGCAATATAGGTAACAATATTTAGTTTTATCCATACTACAAAAATTCAAACATAGCTGATAGACATGGAATTATTGCACTGTTGCAATAAAACACAAAACTTTCTCATTTTGAACATACTGCTACAAAGGACAAAATACATTCACGCTCCCTTACAACGACATAACTCGCTGATTAACCACCATAGTACGATGCATTGTTGTTGAAACGAACAAGCTAGTTACGACTGTTTCCAGAAAACGGTCGCATCTCCGTCGTTTGAACCACATTAGTTCAACAACATAGGGCCATTGTTAATGACGTCACACACATGTGGTGGAGGAATAACTTCTGCTATTTAACCGATTAGACATCTCTAAGATGCTGCTGTATTGAACATGGCACCTGATAACTGTCATTTTGCTTTATTTGATGTTTGATTCATCGCGGGTTCCCTCTTACGTCATACTCCGGGGTTCCCTTTATGCACATGCACACTCTTCAAAAACGGCGCTTTTAGAGGATGTGCAAAAATACATAGATTAAAATGCATTTACTGTATATTTAAATAGAATGGAATATATAGATTGTACTGCATGCTAGTTTGCTTATTGTGCCCAAGAGCATATTTATTTAAGCCCATATCCCTTGCTAACAAGAAACTATGCTTCTAACCACAGGTCGAGAGCTGTAGTTCCTACCACGTAAGTTTGCGACACTATTTGCGAATGTTCATTTGAACTATGGTTTCGGGGAACACCGAATCGTTGAACTATGTTGGTAACGACGGACATGCAGCCCAGGTTAGGTTCACAGAGTAAATTACCATGGTAACTGACTCTGAGTATAAGTTACCTCTCTTTCAGAAACGGGCTTGACTTACCCTGCTTTCTCGGGTTTGACAAACCTTCCATTCTGAAATGGAAAACCCAGAGTTTCCCCACATTTCAGGGTTAACATACTCATACATACATACAAGTTTTCCCTTAACCTCATTTCTGAAACGGGCCTCTGGTGCTCAAGAATTTTATTTATTTATTTATTTTTAATTAATGCCAAGGTATCAAAAATATAAGTACAGAAAATATCAAAAGTACGTACAAAGAAGTGACATTACAAGCAAAGCACCGTTTATACACGTATATAATATAACAATAAATAATGCAAAACGAAAGCTTAAACAAAATAAATTAAAAAGGTGAAATAAGTTTTAAGAGCTTTAAGAGCTTGGAAGATGAAATAGTATACTGTTGAACATCTTTTTTTTAAACTAATAAATAAAGGATTTTGATGAGTGAATTTACAGCGGTGAATGTGAATTTTTGCAAGAAGTAATAATAGGTTAATAATAAAGTATTCATTAATTTTATATTTTTGTATATTAAAGAAGGCGAACAGTACATCCTTAAAAACAAAGAGAAACTCGGGAGCACGTTGCGATTAATAAAATAAAAATATTAAATCCAAAATAGCTGTGTGTGAGGACAATCCCAGAAGATATGAATATCAGTTTCATTAGGGGCACCACAAAAAGAAGAGCTTCTATCTATAGTATGTCTGATTTACACTTTTTCAGAAACACTTTAGCTGGGTAAAATCTGTGAAACAATTTGAATGAGATTTCTCTAACCTTGTTAGTTATTATGTATTTAAAAGGCAGAGTCCATACTTTTTTCCAATCAAGACAGCTGGATGTCTTCGGTCATATTAGGGATTTCCTGGAGCGTCATGAGTTCTATTACATTTGTGAGTCTCACTCGAGGAGTTTCTGTGCAAGGGCGAGTATGAATGAAACAGTGTGTCCCTCACTAATGCTCACAACACCCTATTTTGGGTAAAAATAGGAAAAATAACACTTTTCTCTAAAGAAATTGGAAATTAGAAATTCTCTCAGTGGATGCATGAACTCCTGACAACAAATTAAGAAATTATAGTTACCCTTTTTTTTTTTTAATGATAATGATTTAATATTTTATAATAAAACCATAGACATATCTAATGATGTATAGTTATAGGCCCCCAGCATGTTAACGGGGTAAACACGTGTAAATTATGCTTTCACTCAATTTGCTTTCTGTTTGCATTTCAACACAATTTACATTATAACTCATTCATTTTTAAAGCATCACAGTAATTTTGAGTTGTTTCCAAGGACAAGAGGCGGAATCACCCTACAATCTAGGATGTGGCCAATGTGATGGCAAATAGTTTTACTCTCTCTCTCTCTCTCAAGTTAGTCTTTTCTCAGCTTTTTTCTACATGGTGGTTGTTCAGCCTGGATACATTCATTAGCTAACACAATTAGAATTTTAAGTTTTTTTTTGTATCGATGTATTAATATGATGTAAGGTCCAGATACCAGCATGACACTGAAACAGGTAGTAGTAATGGCTAGTGATGGGCGTTTTTGAAGCACTGCTTTGTGAAGCTTCGAAACCTTTGCGAACCATTTGTTTCTAAACAGTGGTTTGGAGCGCGTATCAAACTGCCAAAGTCACATGATTTCAGTAAACGAGGCTTTGTTACGTCAAAACTGTTTTGAAACGTTTCAAAATTTCAATGGTTTGCCGACAGGGGGAGATGATCTCTGAGAACCCGCGAGTTCATTAAGATTGAACCACTGAACCAGTGTTTATGGTTTCTACCTGATCTCGGATCAATTTTATCAATATGTAGACATTTTTAATGATACTTTTGTGTAATTAAAAGGATGAGAAGTAGTTAATAGTCTCTTATTGGCCTGTTTAGACAAGCTCTCCATAAAACAAACCAAACAAGCCCTGTAAATAAATAACAATAATTAGAAGGGGAAAAAACATATTATACAGACACTTCATATTAAATGGTATTTTATTATTTTAATTGCATTTAATGTATTATACATTGACAATGGGTTTGTAAAGGTTTTGTTTTTTGTAAAATGTTTATGCATATTTTGGTCTGAGTTTGTGTTGCATTTACACAGTTTTGACGAGCAGGTATCACCAGTGTGTGGTGTTTCGAGCTCTTCGAAACAGTGAATCGTTTTGCAAAGCAACTGGTTCAGTTGATTCAAAGCTTCAAAAAGGTTAATTTCTCCCATCACTAGTAATGGCCAGAGCCATAGAAAGAGAGAGAAGTCCAAAACGCTCGATCGTCACGTGATTCACGTAGACCTCAAATAGTTCCAGGAAGTTCATAGCGGGCAATTGAAATACATTGAGTTCGAGAGATAGAACTGTGATTTTTGGTAATTAGTAGACAATAAAATAATTTATTTACATTATTTATAAAATAGTGTACACGTAGTATATATATGTAGTTATATTAGTGTTTTTTTTAAAGGATAAAATCCTCTAATATTTGAGGATTAATGTGGTCAGCTATCCTTACCTGCCTTGTTAACATATTTTAGGCTGAAGTTACCATGGTAAAAGTCCGCGTTTGCTATATAAACAACATTGTGGTCTTCTGCCAAGGTAACTTCAGCCTCTCTATATAAATATAATTATATATGTATGTGTGTGTGTTCTTACAACTTGCTTGTTGGTCAACTTCAATCACAAATATACCTGTTCATTGTAGTTTTACTAATCTCATGGTAAATGTTAAGTTTGTTGTCTTAGAAAATTAATTCCAAATAAATGAAGAAATTTTATTAAGTGAAAACTAATCTTGTTTAATGTTTTTGATTCTTGTGCACCCCTCAGTTATTAATATATAAAAATATATTTGTAGTATATTCCAATTTAAAACAACTTAAAACATTTTTACACATTTAATCATATTTTATGTATGTTGACTTTTGTTACGCACTTATTTATAGCAATCGATTTATACATTTATAATAAACTATACAGCATGTTGTCCTTGAACAGTCTTCACTATAGTTTGCTGTGCTGCATGGGAGTTCCAGTCACTCACAGAAAGGAGTGTGAATGTATGGTTTCCCTACTGATCTGGAGAGGAGAAAGAAAATTATGCATCAAGTTTTGTTCAATTCACATTTATTTTGTATTGCACTTTTTAATACACACATTGTTTCAAAGCAGCTTTACAGAAAATGAATGTTTCTACATTACAATTAAGAGTTCTGTTAACAGGTGTAACTGTGCCAAAGTAATGTTCATATGGCAGAAATGTTCTAAAATTAGGCAATACAAATCATGCAGTTAAGTAACGTCATGTATTCAGGAAACAATGAAATATATACAGAAACAATTAACAAATTAAAGCAATAGTTACATGATGTTATCATGTTGATTACAATGCAAGGAAAATTTAGCAGTTTTGTATGTTTATTCAGAGTCAGCTTCATCTGAAGTCCTCTCAAGGGTTGGCGTCATCTCTTCACAGGTGTTGGGTCATCTGAAGTCTTCGTAAGAGGCTGGATATAGTCAGCAGGAGCAATCTATAGATTACACCAACAAAATGTGATGTAATCATACTAGGGAACTGGCACTTTTTCACAAAGACACAAAGAGCAGGAAAAGACTTGCCAAAACCAGTGAAGAGACTCATTGTGAGGTTGATGTCTCTTTACAGGGAGTCTTCAGGTGGTTCTTGTTCTGAAAGCAAGATAGCGAAGGAAAAAAACAGGAGAAATGGTTAAGTGATGCTCCATCACATTGCAGTCCTGTGGCATCACTGCTCAGTCTGTTCCTTCAACACAGTACTTCTTTAGTAGCTAAGATGTTTAAGTATAAAATACAGTAATAATGTATAGATTTACTGTAAATATAATATAGTGGTATATAATACCTTTTTTGGAA